TAAATTGTACACCTAAATTTACAAAAAAAAAGATTAATATCTCAAAGAAATAGGAGTGCACAGAAAAATGAGCTTCAATACCACAATGACAACACAGATAGCAAACGGGCCTACTGATTCCCACCTCCTATTAAATGTGAAACCCACGGAGGGTCCTTCAAACTCTAGCATTTACACACTGTAACATTTGAAAGCCTAACTTCTTAACGGCAACCATAAGCCCGGAAAGCAAGAGATCCGGGTACCAATCCCGGCTGGGGCGAAAGTTTTGCCCACAACTCAGCATTCTTGTGATAACTTTCGCAACGCGAACTGCGGCGTAAACAGCAGTTATCCAATAAAAACAAGTCAAAGGGGCAACCATAAGTTCACCTAAGTATGAAGAATGATTGAGAGAAAAAGGATTTCTCGAGAAAACCCACACGCAGAACACAGAAGTAACTAGCTTAGCTGTTACCGTAGTACATGTCCTGTGTAGACAATTGTACACTCGTGAAAAAATGCCATTTTTATTCCCCTACAGTCTAAAACAGCTGTACATGGAAAGGCGAGAAGATAGACTTAGAAATACTGATCACAACAGCGGATGCGGAATATTTCTGCACTGGGAAATTGCCAGGCAGCACTAGACTCTGTGGTAAGCCTATTATACACAGTCATGACAGAAAGAAATCCAAATCACATGAAAACACAATAGATTAAAACTTTGACACATCATCTTGAAAAAATAAATAGAAGTGTAACTGTTTTATGAGCTACGCGAATCAAAGTAAACTACTTTACTGTTAACTAGATAGTAAGATATCAATCGAGCCAAGCAATTGACCAAATCACTTCAGAAGAGCCGAAACCACTGCACCAATGTTAAGATTGCGAAGGTCCTTATAAGTCTGCCCGCAGCCGACGAAGACGATAGGCTGGCCAGTTATGTACGCCATTGAAACAGCGGCGCCCACCTAAGATACCCGTGAACAGAGACAAAAAATGAAACCAAAATCACAAAGATCAAAGTCAAGAGTGAGGTGTACCTTATCATCAATCGTGTCAAACTTCGTCAGAACAATGCCGTCAATTAAACGAGGTGTTGAGCCTGGTGTGGCGTTGTCAGCAAGAGCCTAGAAATTAACCAACAATCGCTTCAAGAGACCTGAACCATCTAAACTGATACTTTATCTTACCTGATTAAACTTGACGAGCTGATCCACAGCTTCATTTCCAACAAGGGCTTCGCCAACGAATAGAACCAAATCAGGTTCGTTCACTCTTATTAGCTGAAAAGAACATGATTTCCAAAGAGATCGCTGCCTTAACCCACACTACCAATAACGAAAACTTCACCTTTGCCAGTTCTCTCATTAGCGGTTCGTTGTCCTGCATACGCCCGGCTGTATCCACCAAGACAACATCAATAGCACGCTCGGCAGCGATTCCTATTGCAGCGGCTGCTAGACTGGCCGAATCTTTTCCATAGCCTTGTTCGAAGAGCTGTAATTTCTCTGACTGAGCAACTGATAAAAATGCAATGTTTACACAAAAGGGTCCTCGAGCTCAAAAAGAATCACAGATTCGCGAGCTTCCAAATATCCACTTTTGGAATAATGAAATAATATCACATCACGCCACTCTACAACCATTTGTATTTCATCTCACTGATCCCATCCTTTTCAAAGTTGGGGCATCCCTTTGACATGAACAGTGCATACAAATTGTGACTTTGGAAACAACGTACATATAAATTCCAAATTCTAGGTAAAGTCAAATTGATGAGTATGCCACTGTGAGACCTATTGAGTTATTGATTCGAGAAGAAATTTCGTAGTTGGTAGTCTACACAGGTGTACGTGAAAGTTTCTAATATTATTTTTGTTACTTTGTAAGTTCAAAGCGAATTGAACAAGGGTGAATGATCGTCATTATCAACGAAAAAACGATAACTGATCTAGCCTACATGCAATTCGAAGGAAACTCGAGGGTCGAGGACTGCTCCTCAGCCAGTCGAAACCATGCGTGTCTGGTTTCAGAACAACTGAAACACTTGGAGAACCCTTGAAAATTTTCTACAATGCGTACTGACATTTTCAGTAGTGCTAGCACAGGTGCGTCCCAATGGGACCCAATTCTGACAAAAAAAGGGCGCCAACACATGTGCGCTTCGCAAATTCGTTGGACCTGTAAAACCTGTCTTCTGCCGAAAAAAAAACAAATTAAAAAAAGTACATTTCTATTCTTATAGTTACTGCTTACAACACGACTACCCAGTTCTTCTAGAGTTTTTTTTTTTTTTTTTTTAGTATTGCATAAGTAAGGTGATGCAAAAATATAAGAACCTGAAAAGTAGAAGAAACAAGTAAAACCGGATTTGATTTGAGTTTCATTGTATTTATTTATTTGCAGGTCAATCGTGAAGTGAGAAATAATAAATTAATTGGGACCAGCCGGGATGCACAAGATTGAATTGACTTCAACATTCGAACTTAGTGGTAAGGAGAAAAAGGGGCTAGATGCCGACCCGATACAATGTGAACCGTTACCGACTGATAGCCGAAAAAAGGGGGAGGGTGCACGCAAAGTTGCTAAAAGGCCCTGAAGATAATCCTACTGCCGAGGCCGCAACGCAACAGGGGCGGGTGCAGGCGGCACCTCTTTGATCTAAACACGAACCCCAGGCGCTGGCTCGGGGGTGCTTACGAAGGCATTAACTAAGTTTGCGTGCTGAACTAGGAGCGGGTATATGGATAAATATAGCCGGAAAGGGCCCAGCAGAAAGGGGTGAGCAAATAGCCCCATATTCCATCGGAATCGGTGAAGCGCAACCTGCACTCCTGCTCCCTGAGTACATAACCGGACAAGAAAAAACAATGACTGAAGTTCTATATGAAAAACGGGAATTCAAGGCAATGGAGAATTTTCTGCGACACGCTCTTATACTGATAAATGAATAAGTGAGCACATAGCCAAACCTGGACTGAATTAGGGTGAAGAGCATTGAGATGTTTTGTATGGGTACGTAACTGTTCAACAGCTCCAGCACGGAAAGTATCTCCGGCGGCAATCAACACACGATGATTGTTCTCGTTGAGCCAAAACGTGATCTGGATAGATATATAATTAGTTCATGTCTCCAAAGACTGATGAAATCATTTGCTTACCTTAGCCAGGTTCGTACTTTTTCCTACTCCATTAACTCCACAAAAAACAACAACATAGGGACGCCCTTCACGTTTCGCCTCAACAATGTCTCTTAAGATGTCAACCCGACGTTTAGGAGTCAGCAGCTAAAAAATCGAATTGACAAAAATAAGAGATGCGAACTGTTATTCATACCCTTTGCAAAGCAAGTAATCACTGTAAATGCCTAACCTGAGTGAGAGACTCCCTGACGGCCTCCTTTACTTCTGAACTGACTCGACTGAAGGTGCTCACAACCTTGCCTTCCAACTTACGCGCGACAGACTGACATATCTTATCCGCTGGTTCAGCAGCAACATTTTTCACTGAAACATCCGTGATTACTCTATGTTATGAGTAACAAACTTGATGTGTCAGTCTGCAGTCGGTGGGCATGTCCGTCGATATATATGTATGGGTACGTAAGTTTGTATGTATACCCGTCCGCAAAATTAAGGTGGCTGATAGAACAAGCGAACCACTTGCAAAACTGGGGAGCCAGCAGGTCTTGCGATACCAGTGGATCGGAATGCATAATTGTGAAATCATCCCAATTGCAATATGAACACCTGCTGAGCACACTCTCCGTCACTCCATGATGCTGCAGAGGCAACTAGAGGAAAACGTGTGGGGGAAGTGGATGGGGAGAAAAACCAAGCAACAACAAATACATGGTGTTGCAGTCGCATTCGGAACGGAGATGAGATCCACCGCCAGAAAACTAAGGTCAGATTCATTTTACGTGATGTCACAATCCCCATGATACCTCTACCACCCTTTTCATGCGAACAAATCTCCTCGTGTTGTACTCATAAGTGGAGGTGAACACAGCAGAATGCGACAAGCATTTGCAGAGAAACGGAGGCCCCGGTGGTAGCCGGGAACGAATCTTTAGGTTCATAAAATTGGAGTTCGAGGAAGCCCAAAAAGGCAAGTTATCAGACTACTCACGTATGAGGTTTTCACGCATAGTCTCCAGAACTGGTTCAATATCTTCAGCGGAAATTTGCTTATTTCCAACCAAATTCTTGAACGCACCGAACCACGATCCTTTCGTTTGCGCAGCGGCAACAATCCTAAAAGGCTAGCATTTATGAAAGTTTATCAATTCTCGACAGTTTTGCGCGACCTGGAACGCTACCGCTATAGTTTGAAATATTACCCTTGATACGTACAGAGTGCAAGCATTACGGTAAAAAAAAACCTTCTCAAACCATATTGAACCACTTCAGACTTAGTAGCTGCATCTGAGTTAGAGGACTTCAAGAGCAACTACTGCAGACTCCAGTGAAATAGAAGGCCTGCATACAAAGCGAGTACTGTACAAAATTATGTATCGGAACCTTTCAGTATTCATGAAACTGAACGGGTA